GACCTTCCTGTGGGTAAGTCACCCTGCATCACCCACTTCCGTTACAAGCCTGTGAATCCCTTGTTCAAAGAGACAACAGGGCTGAAGCGCCTGCTTTGCTACCCCTGCCCAGTCGTAGCGCAGTAAGCACCAGACGAGACAGCTCTTGGTTCTTCCGCACGAATACAGAGTGGAGCTCTCACCACCCAGAAGTTTGGTTGAAGTGGGAGGGAGAGGTCACCTCCGGATTTCGTGCCCGTGCTTCTGACAGAAACCCACACAGTTCTACGCAGCTTCTGGCTTCCTGGCATCGTGGGTGTTAATGTAGCACGTGGTCTATTACTGCCCTTCTATAGCAGCAGAGCGCTCACCATATGGCCGTAAAGACCAATGCCTGACCCTCTGACCCTCCCGTGGGCTGCGTGCAGGCGAGCTCCCGGCCGTATGTTTTGCGTGGCGCCTGCTGTTCCCAGAGCCTGTCACTCTTCACAGTTTGTTTCTTTGCCTCAGGGTCCAAGATGCTTTTGCTCAGAAAATGCCCTGATCGGCTGCACCTAAGCCGGCCAACCCGTACTATACCCAGCACGCAAAGGTTAGGCCTCGGTATTTCAGAGGACAAAAGTATAGCAGGGGGCATCCCTTCACGTGATGTGGCTGCTGAAGTGACTTCATCTGGTGGATTACGCAATACAGGGATTCTCTCCCCTTGAATGTTGTCATCTGCCAATACCAGTCTCACCATTAAATCTATGTGAGGAAGCAGAAGCTGATGAGATATGGTGCGATGGTTGGGCCTCTTGTTTTTTCCCATCAATCCCTGGGCTCAGAAGGAATCTTAATTTGGATAAGATTGGTTATTATACTGTCATCATCACTGTGGTGCAGGGTTAGGGATACATGGAATTAGCAATCTTGATGTCACCAATGAATTAAAAGTTCTCTGTACCAAAATAGGGTTCTCAGACCAATAGCATCTGCATCCCCTGGGAGCTTGGGGAGTGCAGATTCTTGGCCCCAACCCAGTGGAATCAGAAACTCACTGGTGCTTTCCTGTGTCTTAGCGAGCCCTGTGGCAAGTCTGATGTACTCCACAGTTTGAGATCCACTGTAAAACATTCTGCAGGGATGGAAACTCCCAGGACAGGAACAACCAGCCATGTGTGGTGGTTGTGACCAAAAAATGCAATTAGTAATTTTATTTAATGTTGATTAATCTAGATTTAAGCATCCGCACAACTAGTGGGTGCCCTTTGAACAGCCCAACTCCAGGACTTACTCTGCTGTGTGTTTTCATAGGGGCACACTCCTAAAATGCTCTGTGAATAAATTATTAGTTATAGCATTTTAAATTTTCAGTCATAAGTCATACTCCTGGAGTAAAAATCCTGTTGCTGTAACTAGTTTATTTTGGTTATTTGGAGTCTCCTTTTGCAGGGCGGGAACTTACGAGCGGCCAGGTAGCTGAGGGAAGCTGAGTTTGGCCCAACACGTTAGACAGACACATCTCTAGAGTAATATTTAAGTTCTTTGATTCAGGAGGATTTGAAGGATGAGAGGGCCCAGCTGGCCTTGTTAGTCCAACTGGTTAAAATCCCAGAAGACGCTATGACTGCAGTCCCTGGCCGTAGACCCCTGGGGCCGTGCCCACGGCTCTGTCCCCTTTTGCAGAAGCAGTGGAAGCCCTGGACTCAGAGGGACCCGGAGGTTGTGTGGTCCTGTGGTTGGGGCAGAATGCCATGTGAAGGAGCCACGCAAGCCCAAGCGTGGTTAGGATCTCTCTCCCAAATGTAACAGCCGAAGTCTCAAGACAAAATGAACCCTCGTTGGTGACAGAGAAAATGAGTCTAAGTATCGCAAGCAAAAGTTCTACATGACCGAGCTTCCTAATTGGGGACCCTATTGTTGTATTATTTAAATCCATTACCACTGATTTTCATAGTGCATCTCTTCTTCGACTCATAAATGTTGCACACAGGTAGAAGAGTGTTTAGAAATGGCCATTCTCCGGCCTTCTCATTTTGCACTTGAGACCTGGGAGGCCCAGAGAGGTTGTGTATTGAGCAAAAGCACACACAGCAAGGACGCCGGTGAGGCGGGCTAGGCCTGAGTCACCTCTGCATCCCATGCTCCTCTGGGGCTTCTCTGTGCCCAGTTCTGCGTTGCCTCTGTGCCCTGTGGGTACTGCTGGGCATCACAGAACTTTGGTGAAATATGGCTATCCACCTTTCACAATAGCTAAAATTATTTGTGCTATGTATGTATATGATGTAGTCATTGCATAATTTGTATTGTTAACCTTCTTAATGGATAGTTTTGTTGGATTAGCTTGTTTTCAAAGCACTAGGTCCATTTCAGGTTTGACCCCTCCTTTTGTAACTTTGTGCTTTGAATAGCATGGCTCTCTCACTGTCCCAAAGCACTGCTTCATGCCAGGAATGTGATGCTGTGCTCATAATAAACGTTTGCTAAATATTGGTCAAAAGAATGAATGGAATCCAGCCAGACAGGTTTGAATGGTAACGTCTTTTGATATTGACTGTGGCTGGGGGAAAAAAAATCTACTTTAGGGAAAATATTGTGTGATTTTTTTTTTTTTTTCCTGCTGCTAGCTTGAATGAAGTCTTACACACGAAAAATTCACACGCGCATCAAAAGGCTGGGAGAGGATGGGTAAATTGAATGTGGGGCTATTGTTTGTGTCCACAAAACAAAGTCCTAAATCACATTTAGCATAATTTGTGGTTTTAAATTGGACTGGTTTGGAAGGAGAGTGAAATAATCTCTCATCCTGTCAAAAGGGCGATACCTTTAGATCAGCATTTAATTGCATTGGCAGAGTAACTTTGGGGTGGCCGCAGTAATTCTGGTCGCATTATTCTTGGTTTGTGGCTAAATTGAGATCATCATTTTCTCCTGGTTTCACTAACTTTCTTTATTGCTCTTCAAACTCATCAGATCAGTGTGGGGAGAGTAGGTTTCCTGGTAGCTGGAGGGTGGACAAAGGTCTCTGGGTAGCTGCACTTTGCAGAATAGGGAGAGTCCTGGGGAAAGTGACACATGGTGACAGAGAAGGTACCGGCTTGTGATTTATATAAAGCAAATAGCATTCATTTTTACAAAAGGGTGCTATTGTGTCCGCACCCAAAATATGCTTTTGCAGCCACTTTGTACAGGTCAGGTTTGTATGCTTTAATGTGAATCTGCAGGAATAATTCTGGAAGTAATTCCTAGCTGTCTCAATTATTCCACGAAAACCGCTTATCTCCAGCCACTTCGGGAAGCAGTCCACTGCCCAGTTACTGGACGCTGTCCCTTGCCTCTGAGTCCTGCTCCAGATTGATTTCTAGTTTGCAGGCGTGCTCCTCCCAATAAAGGCATTTCCTTTAACTTGTACCAAGCCTTCCCACTCTCCAAAAACAATCAGTCATCGATGTTTTAGACATTTCCTAGCCCTAAGAGTGATGCCTCAGAACTGTAATGAACAGTGTGCCCCTCCTCTTTCTTTGTCCCCCGGGGAGTTACCAGCTGGTGTCCTTGGAGTAGCCGCCTCCTTGATTATGTTAGATCTGTGTTTGGAATTTCATACACACCTTGGTGGCGGGTCTAAGCACAGGTGCTCCTGGTTGAGTTGAGGCTTGAGCGGCAGGCAGGCATTCAGCCGTCGGGGGCAGAGGAGGAGGAGGGGGCGGGTGGCTGCCAGGAGACTCTTAGCCGCATTTTCACGCTGGACTCAAGGCCCGTGGCAGTGTTTCTAGTTACCTGCATCGTGTTTATATTCAGGCTTCTGTGAGCCTTGGGCAAGATCATTGCACATGCAGATGTTCGTAGAAAGATTGAGTAACGAATGGGATCAGTAAGTACGGTCTGTGCAAAGTCCTCTTGCTGCCAGTTCAAAGTTGGACTTTTGTTCCTCTGTATCCATGGGTGGTTGGTTCCAGGAGCCTCTAAGATAACAGAATCCAAGGATGCTGCGTCCCTCGTGTAAAATAGCATAGTATTTGCTTATAACCTGTGCACATCCTCCAAATACTTTAAATCACCTCCAGATCACTTACAAGACCTACTACAATGTAAATGTTATGCAAATAGCTATTACATTGAATTGCTTAAGGACTAGTGACAAAGGACAAAAGTGTGTATGTCTGGATCTGTGGGTGGTTGACTCTGCAGATGTGGAACCTACAGACATTGAGGACTGACTATATTTTTGAGATAACAACGCCTTTGGCTTTTAAATTTGTATTTGCAGATACAGATTACAGGGAAGGGAGACCCCTACAGATCCTATGTGGTTGTTTTTCAACTTTGATCTGCATACTACTTAGTTCATAGCATGCTCCTCAGTTTGGTAATTGTATTTCTGTATAATTTCAGTGTATCGATCCATTGTTAATCTATGTAACCTGTGTGTGTGTGTGTGTGTGTGTGTGTGTGTGTGTGTTGGCCAAGGTATATTACTCCAAAGGCCCAAATCAGAAACTAGGCAGGTTGAATATTTTGTCATTTAAGGTTGAGCTTAAATTGAGATGTAATACAATGTTTAAGAGGACAGCTCTTCAGATAACTGGACTGTTTAAAAGGCTTCAATGTGGGGCCATCACAGGGAGGAATTTGGGTTTGCTATCTGTGTTCTGGTGGAGGTACGAGAGAACCAAAAGGCAGAAAATAGTTGCACTTAGACCTATGACAATTGGAAGTCTGTGTACTTTGTAATTATCATTTCGTAGTCAGTTTATGGTTCAGAAATTCCTTGTCTTTCCTTTTTTTGCCTCCTTCCTTACTATTCACCTGATACAAACCATGGCAAATCTTCTGTTCTGATCATACAAGAAGAAACACCTCTGCTTCGACCTGGTGGTGAGGCACTACCTAGGAACCTGGGAAAGAAATAAAAACCGAATGTGAATTACGTGGTCGTATTGGAGCTAAAGTTTCACGGGAAAGGAAAGCAAAATGTGTTGCTGGTATTCCTGGCTGGGAGAGAGGCTCCCGGATTCACATCCTGCGTTTTGTCTCCGTAGCTGTGCCGCCCAATGTCGCAGAGCTGAAGAACTTGGAAGTGCTTAACTTTTTTAACAACCAGATTGAAGAGCTGCCCACGCAGATCAGCAGCCTTCAGAAGCTCAAGCACCTGAACCTCGGGTGAGTATTGAGGTGCAGAGAGAAAGGCGCAGAAGGGGCGTGGGGGGAGCAAAGGGCAGGGACACTGTCCATGTTACTGCATAGAAGTGTGTTTCCTGTTTCCTTTTATATGTGAGGTTTTAAGGAAAGTTTTATTGTTTTAATATATCCTTTCAATGGCCTACACTAGTGCATATCTGTTTGAGAGCTAATTGAGAAGCTAATTGTTAGCTCAATAAGGGAGTTTTTTTTCTACTGTATTTTGTGTCCAATAAAATTTTTTATTTCAGTTATGGTGACCAAGGAGACACTGACGTGTCTGCATAGCATTAGCTGTTCAAACAAGTTACAATATGGTTGATTTTTTTTTTTTTTTTTTCCCCCTTCTCTGTATTAGTTAGAAATATTTCACAAAGTGCCTTCCTTCCGGGGACAGGAAGCTACCGTTCTCTCATGCCACTTCATTAATTCTTGCAGTTCTCCTGAGTGGCCAGGAGGTTATAATCCTGTGTCTTTATGCAGAGGTGAACAGAGGAATGTTGATTCAGCTGAGGTGGCAGAACCAAGAAGCAGCCACTAATAACGCCTTGTACTCCCGGATCGCTGTGCAGTTCTGAGTCCTCACGCCAGCAGTGACCCCCTCCACATTTGTGAGGCAGGGAGGGAACGCGTTAGTGCTCCCGTTCCACAGGGAGGAGGCCAAGCCTTTTCCAAGGGGTTCAGGGACTTGCTTCCTACTCACCCCGAGGCTGCTGGCAGAAAGCAGGGGAAATCCCATTGGTGCGGGTCCATGCCTTCTCCATCACAGTCCAGAGAGGCCAGCCGGAGCTGTGGCTTCTGAGTTCTGCCTTCATTGTCAAAGGTGTTAGGTGAAACTGCTCATTCATGCTTCACTCTCTGAGCGGACTACTACATTCATTAAATTGTAGCCCCTCCGTGCTCACTTAAGTCAGGGACTGACATGGAGTGGAACAGGAACTGGCCAGGTATTTATCAGTTTAGCAGGAGGCGAGCGTGGCAAAGAATCTCATCCACGAAATTCCTGTTAGATTATTCTTTGCACAGGCATGTGGTTAGACATTTAGTTTGAAGCCCACTTGGGCTAAGAGACCATCCTTGTAAGACCCATGAGCATTCTTTTTTCTAACGTGTGAGGGGAAGTAGCGTTGAAAGAAGGGAGAAACCTCATCTTACAAGAGATGGTTCTTTCCTCTGCATATTTAGAAACTCTTTTCCTATCTGGCAAAGCAGAAAAGGAAGGACCCTACATTTATTAAAGATTACTAAGTCTCAGTGCTTAATTGGCATGTACTTACGAAGCTAAAACCAGATATAGGGGTATATTTGTACTGTTCATTTGTTCATTTATTAAAGGAGGTATATATAGTTCCATCCTTAGGAACATAGCCTGGTACATGGCAAATAAGGTGTAATGTTGTTATTATTATTAGTATTAGTATTACTATTATTTAGTTTTTCCTTTATTTTGTTTACATGGAAGTGCCTGTTCTATATCAGGAGTCTTGCTTGTCTCGGGGGTCAAAGGTGAAAGTCACGGTCTGGGTTAGGGTTGGGGTTAAGAGCCAGGGCTTGCTGTGGGTCAGCAGTAACAGTACAATAGGGTCCCAGACATGCTGGGGCTGATGGCTTCGTGGGACAGGGAGACAGAGCATGCTGGTCCACACGTGAGGTCCTCGGAGAATTCACACGGGGAACGCCTGGCTCCCGGCTTCACACCTGAGAAGTAATTTCTCAGGCTTAGAAGTGGAAGGAAGGCATCTCAGGTTGGGATGAGCTGTGACCTATTTAGAAGCTCAGAGCATTGCACATCCGGGAATTTTTATTGCAGGTTTATTGATATTTCTGAGTGCACGATCTGAGGCAAGCAGTGGTCAGGGGAGAGGCAAGGCGACACATGCAGTTGGGAATGTCTGCTGCTCATTTTAATGAGTGCTTGTGAACTTCCCAACGGAAAACAAGCCTAAGCAACCAACCGTTCGGGCCCAGTAGAGCTCCATGGCAATTGGGGAAAACAGCTGTGAAAAAACAGATGGCAGAGAACCAGAAGTGCTAGTGAAGGGCCTTGTGAGCTACAAAAAGGAGCTTTGGTTTTATCCTACTGTCCATTGAGAAAGTAGCATAATGGAATAGTGGGTATGAGTTGAGATTTCTCCATGAAAGGTCAGAGTAGAGAAACTTGAAAGAAACTAGAGATTGGGCGGCAAGCGAGAATGCTAGTTTAATGGCTTAGGTGAACGAGGGCAGTGACGGAGGCATGGGAGAGATTTTATTTGCAAATATACAGAAGGAGAAGTTGGCAACACAGCAATGGATAGGGTAGGGCAATACCCAGATTTCTGTTTTTGGTAACTAAAATGGAAATACAAATGGGGATCAGTTTGGGAAAAATATAATGAGCCTTGGTATTGTTCACTTAGGTGTGACATACCTTTGGGCAGAGTGATAAACTGTCCTTTTTCATTTATTATTCATCATTTCCTTCTAGTCCTCTTTGAGTTGTTTGCATTTTTGGCTCTTGGAGCTTTGTGGATTGTATAATGCTTTCTTTGTTTAGTGACACACTCACACCAGCAGGATTGTTAAACTTCCAAACAAAAGTTTTACTTCTTTGGGAGAGAAATTAAGATAGGTTTCAGGAAAGGATATTCAGTCTTGAAATGGCACAGAGTATTAAATGCAGACAGTAATTGCCAGGTTAAAATAAGTTGTAGAGAAGACTGTTTAAGAATAGTCATCCAGAATAAAAACATACACGTAGGAGACCACAGAGCCAGAGAAGTTAGACCACATGGACTGTGGCCCAGAAGACTCGCTGATCCAAAATTTGCTTTTAAAGTTATGTAGTATTTGCTGTTTTTTCTGATGATCACAAAACCTGAAAATGTGTTGACCACCCGCTTAAATAAAAGAACATTTTGTTGTGTTCTTAATTGTTTAAACCTAGTTCTTCTTATAGAGTTATTTTCCAAGAAATGCAAAACCATATAGGTGCCATATTGGTACAGTAATAATTTCTGGGATGACTTCACTGGGTCAGCATTCCCAGTGAATCTGGAGCAACTCCCAGCCTGGTTTGTTGCTAGAGCTTAGCTCATGAACACTTAGTAGTTAGTGAACCAAGTAGGCTACTTGACAAAAACGCTTCACAGATAGTGAATTGATAGAAAATCTGGGTCATCATTATCATTGCGGCAAATGTCCTGAAGGTTATTTTGCCCGTGAAAGTCTACCTGAGAGATAGAAATCCACTTTTCTCTTTTGGTTTTCCATTCTGCCATCAGTCATGTCTTGTGAGGCCTGACTGGTGGGGGTGGACAGGATCGCATCTATTACGAGAAAGATCAGTGACTGGAATGATTTTTAGTGTCACAGTCCCTCCTGTCTCTTAATATCTGTCAACTTAAAGTTTTGGTTTTTTAAATTGACTTTTAAGAATATTCAAAGGAAACTGCATTAAGAAAAATAAGGGTCTTGAATAGGATAAATGATGGTAATATTAAAAAATTACCCTCAGGTTTCATTGGATACATACACACATATACGCACACACATGCATATCCAAAAGTTTGCCATCTTGGTATACAATTGAGATTCAGTGATGGTACAGTATGTTTACATTATTGTGCAAGCGATCTGCGGAAATTTCTCTTCTTGCAAACCTGAAACTCTATAGCCATTGAACAACACTTTCCCCCAAGCCCCCTGACAACCACTAGTGTAATTGGAGATAATTTTAAATCCCAATAGTTGTACAACATGAAGTTGAAATTTCTCCCTTCCATTAAAAGGAATAAATGACGTAAAACACATCAAAAAGTTGGAAAACAGCAATACAAAATACGCATTTTTGGAGGTATCATTGTGCATTCCCTGGGAAGTGTTTCTCCAGACAGACAAATATTTTGTGATAGTTTCAGTTTTTATACAAAACAATAATTGAACTTCACCGTTGGAGAAAATTACAACTGAGAATTTTTAAAATGTTTTACAAATATATAGATCTTGTGACTAAAATTATTAGGTTAAGACAGGTACTGCACAATCTCACTGGTATGTTATCTGTTCAGAAAGCGGAATTTGTAGAAGCAGAGCAGATTGGTGGTCCCCAGAGGCCTAGTGAGTGGGGACCATGTGGACGTGTTAGTCCACGGACACAGAATGTCATGCAGACAGGATTAAGTTCAGGAGAACTACTGTGTGTCATGGTGACTACATTATATAGCAAAATATATGCTATTTTCGAGAATTGCTAAGACAGTAGCTTCTTTTAACATTCTCACCACACACACATACCGGTAAATAAGATGACCAGGCTTGTTAGACAGCTTGATTTGGCCGTTCCACACTGTATCTGTCTACCCACGTATCATTTGTACAGCACTGTGAGTATATATAATTTTTATTTGTCCCTTACATTACATTTAAAAAGCATAAAGTAAATGTGGAACCCTGGCACTTTGTAAGGCTTTCAGCCTGTCAAAAAGTAGTGGAAATCATCTGTGTTCTGTGTGAACGTGTGTCTTGTGTGTGATGACTGGCGTTTTCCTTCCGCGCAGCATGAACCGGCTAAACACTCTGCCACGCGGGTTTGGCTCGCTCCCAGCTCTGGAAGTCCTGGACTTGACTTACAACAACTTGAATGAAAATTCTCTTCCTGGAAATTTCTTCTACCTTAGTAAGAAACTTTTAATTCTATAAATCTCCTTAGCATGGTACTTTGCATTCTAAGGTAAAATTTATTTGCCAGGGCCCAGACTCTTAAGAGAAATTATTAGATGCATATATTTTTTTTCTTCACAGATTACCTTTGAATAGCCCTTCGTAGCTCAGCAGTATTTATATTTGATATATAGTTATCTAACACCCTTGGTCAGAAGTGAATTTAGCAATCTCATATTAAGTTTCCAAGACAGATATTGGAACTAAATGAGAGCAAGTCTCCCTTTTAGTTAAGAAACTTGACTTTCTTTTTAAGAGTGAACCCCCCAAAACGTACTCCCATCTTGCTATTAAATCTTTGCAAGATACTTACTCAAAGATATTCCAGACAAGTACTTATAAAAATACCCACTGTTAATAAACTGTTAACTAAATTTTAAAAATTTCCAGCCAGGATTCTTGTTTTATATTTGGAAAAGCACTTTATTGATGTAGCTTGTTTTTTCCACTGTGCAGACATTAAGAAATTGTTAGTCGTAGATGGACACACTTGATGCTTTTATATGCAAATAAATGTCTTGTGCAGGAACTCTAAACATTAGAAAACATTGATTTTCTAGGAATTCATTACTAAATATTTCAATTTAGGAAAAGGTTGCATGCCTTAAATGAATATTCTGCTTTTCCAGTGACATCTATGGCATCCAGAAAATTCTCAATTTTAGTCTAGCTAGCTAATTTCATTTTTTACCCCATGTACTCTGCCTTTCAAGACTTTCTCAGGCACATGAAACCAATTTGGAATTATTTTCTTTCTTAGTGCTCTGGAAAAAATTGTTTTTGTCACATGTATTAACATACAGTTCTGTTGATCTTTTAAACATTAAATATCTATAAATAAATGAGGAAAAATCATACATCTTAGCATACAGTACCCACCTTTTGGTTGAGGCTAAAAAGATGCTGTAGGATTTTAATGTGCATTAGTTTGGGATCATGTTATTATGGTGTAATATTGTGAACAAAATGATGCTGAGCTTCTGTTTAATTCAGGCTGTATTCCTTTTAACTCCATGCCATTGTTTAATCCCCTCTGTCTTCATATATTTTTGTCATTGAGGCCATAGAAGCAAGTACTAATAATTAGTCTGATTATGGAAATGATCAGCTGTGATTATGGCTCCCATCGCTGGAAAGCCTTTCATGTATTTATTTATTGTGGGCGTCATTGTATTACATATGAAAGTTCTACTGTGACGTAGTCCTGTTTCTCTGCAAGAGCTCTTCTGCTGTCTGTACAGATGCAAGCGAGGCAGTGGGTCTCTTTGTTTTACTTTGGATGCAAATGGAATAATAAGCGTAAATCGGAAGTAATAGAGAAAGATAACTATCCTTTCTAGAAATGCACAGAAACTCTATGCCAAAAACTGCCGCCCATGCCCACTGCTTTAATTGTGTCAGTCCTCTTGGATATAGATGTTTTCCTGGACACACCAGCCACACAATCAGCCAGTAAATCTAAGTTTGACCTGCTTGTTATTATAGTGGGCCGAGGTATGTCACAGGCTTTTCACCAAGCCAGGGTTATTAATCAAAGCTGACTCCCACGTATTGATCAGACCTCAAATGGTTCGGTTCCGTGCCACCCTGTTTATATATTGCTGTTTAATTTGCAGCCACCCTGCGTGCACTCTATCTAAGTGACAACGATTTTGAAATCCTGCCGCCAGATATTGGGAAGCTCACAAAGTTGCAGATAGTAAGTAATTTATCTAAATTCTTAGAAAATCAATTCACTTTTGCAGCCCTTGTAAGAGTAGAATCAAGTCAATTTGAGCAGGAGTAAGGTTTGTTTTGCAGGAGTGAACCACCGCTCCTGCTGCTGTTTCTTGTTTAGCTGCAGTCACTTGTAAATAAATTGAAAGAATTGAGCCTGAGAAAAAGAAAGGGCGCGGGAGAGTGCGAGAGTTTCTGGTGAGCACCTCTTTATGAGGGACTGTATTGACAGCCGCTTGTTTTCTTATATTTAGCTCAGCCTTAGGGATAACGACCTGATCTCGCTGCCTAAGGAAATCGGGGAGCTGACCCAGCTCAAGGAACTCCACATTCAGGGGAACCGCCTGACCGTTCTGCCCCCAGAACTAGGTAAGGCTGCTGATGAATGATCTTCGTTCTTGGCTTAATTAATAACAATTATCTAAGTGCAGCAGTTCTGAACGGCTTCTCTCTTCCTCTTGGCAAACTTTCTCTACCCAGGGACCCGATTGTGATCGTTTCCAGCCCATTTGTCACTGGCCAGAGTTCAGTGCTATGGGTTTGGCCTGGCCTGGTGCTGTGCCCCGCAGCTGTAGCATCTGGTGTCTCAGAACCACGGATGAAAGGTGACCCGGCCCAGCCCCCTGCGCGGTGTGGCAGGAAGCGCGTGGTGCTGGGAGTAATGGTCTTACGTAGGGCCCTCATTTACTGGCTGGGTGAGCTTTCCAGCTTCTAACTGGGTGATTAATAACTTTTACCAAAGCCTCACTCTTATTTTTTAAGGGCCTGAGTTTTTTGGGGTCTTTTTGCCCCCAAAAACATTATCAAATACATAAACTGTTTGTTATAGCTACTTGAAAATGCCTTTTCCAGTCATAAATTCAGTTGTCTCTGCGTCCTGTTTCCAGTGAGAATGGTTAAATATGTTCTCACTGTGAATCCTTAGGTCCTGTTCTGGCAGCTGAATGTCATTTCTCTGCTTGGTCGTTTTTATGGCCCAGGGTGGGCATGCAGCCTTCCCATGTAACCAGCCCACCAGCGACTCTGTTACCGAGGCAGTGACGGCCTTCCACAAAAGGCTTATGAATTCACTTCCCCTTCCTTGTGCCAGCCATCTCTCTCCTCTTGTTTCTTTCAGCCTCTGAAACACGTTTTTTCCCAGTGGTTATTTGCTTCTCTGGACTGAAATAACATAATTTTAGAAACTTTCATTTAATTCACACTTCCTCAAGAAAACAGTTTCTCAGGTGGAGCTGGTGGTTTTGAAGGACCCCCCCCCACACACACACACATACACACCCCAGTTAGAAACTAGAATGTCCCTGTGAAGTCAGAGATCTTTTCATTTTCATCCCCAGCTGTACCCTCAGTGCCTACCATGTGCCTGGTAGCTAATATGTGCTCAGGGAAACTTCACTGAGTGAGTCATGACATGAGGACCTGGGATAGCACGGTGTGGGGAAGGTTACAGGCAGCTTAACTTCTGTCTGGAGCTCTGCTATGCGGTACGGATGTCACCAGCTGCATTTTAGGTGGCGAGTGGTTACTGAGTAGGAAACCAGGAACCGCAGATGGAGGGCATTCCCATCAGCCCGGAGTTCTGTTGGAAAGTGACTGTCTAAAGGAAAAACCATCCCGTGATTTCATGGAATGAATACAAAGTTCACTTTTCCCATCTCCTTCAGCTCCTCTGCTGGGGTTAGCAGGCCAGCAGACCCATAGGATTTTAAAGACTAAGGAGTCACTCAGCGCTGTCTCTTTCTTGAGTGACGAGCAGCCATGTCTTGCTTTGGGAGAAACAAAATACAGAATCAAGAAAAGCTTCCTATCAGGTTTTGAAGGCAAAAACTTCCTGTCAAAGGGAATACTTCCTGCAGGGATTATTCACCGAAGGTGTTATCACCAGTGATGTCAGGGAGTCAGTGCAGAATACAAAGACCTTTCCCTTCCCAACCTCTTGAGTTGGAGCTGTGTGTGAGATGATTCTCATATAATTTGGTGACGCTAACATGATACTTCTGCTGTGTGTGCTTGGTAAGTGTGACTGGAAGAAACAGAAAGATAAATACTATTTTGCTTCTGTTTTAGTTCATCTTTAAACAATGAGGCAAGGCAGGATATTGAAGAATTACTTTATTAGATAGTAATTTGTTAGAAGAAATACCAAATTGAACATACCTGTGCCTATTTATATATTTTTACATCTTCGGTTGCTGTTTTATTTAAATATTCTCTACAGTCATGTTTGTCTGGCATCTTTTAAGCTCTCCAGTAGCAAATTATATATATTTCATTCAAGAGTAGAATTACAAGTAAAGTCTTTAATGACTTTATTTTTGCTGGTTATACCTAGAAACTCTTACTCTTAACATTTGCCTGGAGTTGTTTTCTTATACTTGGAAACATACACCTACTTGGAAATACATAAGAGTTTCTGTTATAAATCTAAACTCAAGATGAAGACAGTATTATTTATTTTTGAACAAGATTGCCTTAAGTTCAAGGCCAGCCTGGGCTACACAGTGAGTTCAAGACCAGACTGAACTGCACAGTGAAACCCATTCTCAAAAAAGCAAGAGAGTCGGGCGTGGTGGCACACACCTGTAATCCTAGCACTCAGAAGGCTGAGGCAGGAGGATCCTTGTGAGTTCGAGACCAACCTGGGCTACAAAATGAGCTCAAGGCCAGCCTGAACTGTATAATGAGACCCTGTCTCAAAAAGACAAAAAAAAAAAAAAAAAAAAAAAAAAAAAAAAAAACAAAAAAAAAAAAAAAAAAAAAAAGCTAAATCCAGAATAATATAATAGTAATACAGTAAGAGCTAGTACATATTTAAGCCCCCTGTGCCAAAGCACTGTGAAAAGTACCTTCCTGCAGTAGCTCTTATAATTGTTGAGAGCAATAAGCAGGGTTTTTAGAGGGAAGGAAACAGGCTTAGAGAGGGCTGGTGATGTGTCTGCAGGGACACACTGTTGTGTCACAGAAACAAAACCTGGACCTGATAGCCTCTTCACTTATATCCACGTTCCTGACCGCAGTAGGGGGCTCCTTCCCATCTGCACACCAGTAAAAAATTCCCAGAAATGCAGTCTGAACAAAAGACAACACCTGTCCACATCCCCGGGTGGCAGCGTCGGGAGAGTGGAGATGCTGTGGTCAGTCGCACAGCAGGGTCAGTTGTGCACGCGTGAGCCTGGACCAGGGCTTTGCAGATGCAGCTGAGGTGGCCTCTACAAAGCGAATTTCTCTTCTGCTGTTCCATCCCAAGCCATGGATTATTCCACAGTTCTCATCTCCCGGTAAACATGAGCCACAGAGGGGATGTCTTCTGGTTCCAGAACTGCTTCTGGCTGGCTGATGAGCAGCACTGGGCGTTGATGCCCTAACAGCTCTGTTCTCCATTCCTGCTGCGTCTGTGGGCTGTAGCTTTGCCCCTGGGTGCACTTCCAAGTGTGGATACTGATGCTCTCCCTCTTGTGCTGTTATTTTTTTATATATCTAAGTAATCGAGGTAAATACTTCTAAGGTTTCTGTGAAATAGGCTTTCAAAATAGAACCAGGATTTATTAGCTTGAAAGCTGGTTGAGGAGAGTTTCAGCCAGCAGAGGATTCCAGATGAGTTCTGGCTTGTGAGAGTTGACATGGTGCGGGCGCACAGCCAAAGTTTGGGAGTTTTAACACGTGATTCCATCACTTTGCTTTTATCGTGTATCCATGTACAAGATACTTACACCATAGCGTCTGGTTCTGAACAGAAAAGCACTTGTCTTCATATTAGTCCATGTAGATATGGAGTGTTAGATAGCAGTTAGCGGTCTCTCATCTGCTCATTTGTTCATTCATTCAGGCATTTATGATGTTGCTACCTCAGACCAAGTCTTGACTCCAAGGAAATTAGCTCTGTAATAAAGTAAAGTTCATTTACCCCACAAGTATTTGTTGACCTCCTGCTTCAAGTATGTGCTAGGGATTGTGAGACAGAACACCCGTTATAAAGCTGATGTTCTAGGATGGGGACTGTGAGAGAGAGAGAAAGAGAGAAAAGCAGGTCACGTGGTGTTTAGTGATCTTGGAAAAGTGTAACTGTGAGCAGAAGAGCCAAGCTGAGGGAGAAGTGACCCGAGGAAGCTTCACTCACATGGTGATGCCACTGAACAAATGCCTGGAGGGAGGATGGAGTCCTCCAGGCAGAGGGAGAAGCAAGGGCAAAGGTCCTGAGGTGGGCTTGGGCATAAGGAACAGCAGGAAACGTAGTATAGATGGAGCAGACTGAGAGAAGAGGGAAGTTGGAACAGAGGAGCTTGGAAAGAAAATGGGAGTTTGTGAGGCATTACTAGGACACTGGCTTTTACTCTGAGTGAGGACTTTGTTTTAAAATTCACTTGATTGTACATTTAGATGAATGTAATGATAACATGCATCATTGGGAGTGTGTAACCTGTAATGACAGGTCTTGCTGCTGCTTTTTTTCCCATTCCCCTGCCGTCCCACCCCTGTTGCCCTCCTTAGTTACAAGAGCTTCATTTCCATTTTTTTCTTCTATTCTTTTTTTCCTTTTCCTTTCCCCCTTTACCCTTCCTAGTTACCCTTCTCATTTGAACATGTTCTTGCTGTTTCACAATATCTATTATGCACTTTGGCCCTTAATTATACTTTCAGTTTCTCACACCAGAGAAACAGTGTGATATTTAAACATGTGTGTCCAAGTAATTTCATTGAAGAGTATGGTCTTAAAGTATATCCATTTACCTAGAAATGTCTCGAGTTTGTACTTCTTTATGGCAGAATAGTTCTCCATTGTATAAAAGACCTACATCTTCTTTGTCCATTCATCAGGTATTTGGGCTGCTTCCAAGAGTGAACTATTAAAAACTGCTGCTATAAATGTGAGCGTGCATACATTGCTGTAGTATGATGGCTTTAATTCATCCAGGAAGATACTAAGAAGGGGAACAGCTGGATCAAGTGGAACCTCTAGGTTTAGTTTCTTGAGGAAGCACACACTGATTTCCACAGTGCTTGTTTCATTCTATATTCCCACTAGCAGTGGAAAAGGGTTCCTTGTTCCCCACAGTCCCACCAGCATTTATGCTGGCTGATTAGTTGGTGATAGGCATTCTTTCTGGAGTGAGACGGAATCTCAGTGTTGTTTGAATTTGCATCTCTCAAATAACCAGTGATGTTGAATATTGTTTAATGTATTTATTTGCCATTTATACTGCTTTAACTGAGAGGTGTGTGTTCATTTCAGATGCCCAGTTTTGGATTGGATCTTTGTATGCAGGGAGTCTAATTTTTTGGAATTCTCTCTATATATTCTAGATAGTAGTCTTTTGTTTGAGAAACAATTGGCAAAATTTTTTTCCCACTCTGTGGGTTGTCTCTTCACT